TTATCCGTTTAGCCCCGCGCCGCCCCGTTCTCGAGCGCCGGCGCATACACCCCCTCCTCCTCCTCCTCCTCCTTCCCAAAATTCCCCCCACCGCATCCGGACTCCCCGCGCTAAACCCCGCGGTGGAACCCCGCTTTTGGGTCCCCTCTACACGCCTGTGCACTCGCCGGGCTTCCGCCGGTACCCGTTCCCCTACAATCACCTGTACACTCCCCCTCCTCCTCCTGCCTACCTTCCCTAACCCATTCCTGACCTTCCCTGTACTTACCTTCGTCCCATTTACGCTCTGAGCCCAATCTATAACCCTATTATAGACTTCCTGCTTATTCCCTCACCTATACATACCTATAGTAGGCCTCTACAGGCCAATTATAATATAATTCGATTTGTTTGGCCATTAAATGATGATTTTCAAATCAAATAAATTTAGTATAGAAAGATAGCGCCTAGGGAGGTGATCAAAAGTATATAGGATATGTGACTATAGGTGGGGGAGGTGGAGAGGGGAATGGGTAGGTAGCTGGGCAGCCAGGAGCCTTGGGTGAACCTCAGGTCAGGTTGGCTGTGACTTGTGTACAGCCTGCCCCTCCTCACCCTCCCCACATATAACTGTATTGAATACAGCGCTGGAATCGCGTTTTCCGGCGCTTCCTACTGATATATATTTTGTATAGCATATAAAATGTATTTTTAATAGCAATAAATTCAAAATCTAATATATTTGGCTATTCTACTACCAGTAGGGTATCAGGGATGGAGGATGAGACATACATAAGGTATAGTACATATCAAAGAAGGTCTCTGTGGTTGAAGACAGAGGTTGGGAGGCCAGGGAAGGTAAGGAATGGGGTAGGGAGGGTGGGTAGGAGGAGAGGGGGGAGTGTATAGCTAATTCACTGGTGGGAGGCGTGCATTTGATAACCGCATGGCAACCATCGGGGCCAATTATCAAAGCGGACTTTGATCCCGAGACCGAAGAATTCGCACAATCACATGAAAACGCACCTGCTTCCGCCACGTACATAACACTATCAAGTTGCTGATGGGCTTGATAATGTGCATCGTGCCCTTGCCTGAAGACAATACAATGATCTTGGGACCATTTGGAGACGGGTGCAGACTGTGCATGCTGCCTATCCGGGTGCGGAGCATTGAAATAGGACTTGAATGGCGGCTTGGAGGTCAATGCCAATTGGGCTCTCAGATCTCAGTAGTCCGTGCTTGAACCCGTTGCGCGGTTGAGGATTAGCGGGACACGAGTTCCGCCTGTCGACCATCACCACTTCACTACACCGATCCGTTCGACACGTTGAATAGCCTTGATGAGCTGAATCGCCGCATTGTGTTGAATCGCTCTGGGATGTTTCAACCAATAGAGTGCGTTTAATCGCCGCGGCACGGTTAATCGCCGCGGCGCGTTTAATCGCCTTCGCGTACTTGATCGTCGCGCACCACCGCACACTCACTTGCTATAGAAGTCGGATTCTATTCAGTCCTTGCACCGCACATGTGGCGCTAGAAGGCTCTCAGGCGCGCCCTTGTTCGAGAGCTGTCGGCGCGGGAAGACCATCCCTTTTAAAGTGGGAAAGGTGGTTTCGGTGGTCAACTTGCGGGACAAACAGTCCGCCCCGCTATGCCCACTCGCCGCACCGGAAGACCTGCAGCGAGCGCGTCCACTTGGTCCGTGCGCACCAGCAATCCCCCACTCACTCAACACGGGAGATTCGGCAGCATCGCACCGCACCGCGCCACGTTCAAGCGCCTGAACGTGTTCGCGACTCATTTGATCGTCTGGCTGTGTTTGATAGCCTGAGCGCGTTGAATTGTCTGGCTGTATTTAATTGCCTGAACGTGTTGACTGGTCACGGCGCGTTTGATCGTCTGACTGTGCTTAATTGCCTGAGCGCGTTGAAGCGTCACGGCGCGTTTGATTATCTGACTATGTTTAATTGGCTGAGCGCGTTGAATCCGCACGCCACGTTTAATTGTCTGGCTGTATTTGATCGCCTGAGTCCGTTGAATCGTCAAGGCGCATTCAATCGTCTAGCTTTGTTCAATTGCCTGCGCGTGTTGAATGATTATGACGCGTTTCATCCTCCGGCTGTGCTCAATTGTCTGAGCGCGTTGCATCGTCATGGTGCATTTAATTGTCTGGCTGCTTTCAATTATGGAAGCACATTCAATTGCGGAGGTATGCTTAATCTCTTCGGGGTGTTCAATCGTCGCAGCGCGTTTGATCGCCTACTTGTGTTCAACGAGTGCAGAACATTTGAGAGTAAGCAACCTGTTGGTAGTCTTGACCACTCAGTGTTAGGTGCGCAGTGTACATTGACATCGGAGGGACTGAGGTGGGATAAGGGCAAACCCAGATCCTCAGTGCTCGAGTGGTGTAATCGGCGACCTGCAGATATAATACTATAGCGCTTATTTCTCGACGTCGAGGCTTCCAGCACGCTCAATCTTGTTGGTCTTCATGTTGCATACGATGCCTGCATACCTCCGTCTCTTCTCATCCTTCTTCGTACCAACTTGGTATGTTGATCAGGGCATGTCTACGTGAAGAGCGTATCTAGTTACCATACCTTAATCCCACACATAGCTTACACCAGCTCAATCGCAGTACTACACCGGGCTTCGGCCGCGTTTATTTCGAACGAAGTTCAAGAGAATATTGTGATACAGATGGTATAGAAGGTACATGTGGCATTGCAGCAGGAGATCCTTCCATACGTGAGCATTCAAGTGTTGGACTCCACCCTAAAACCTGCGCCTCTTCGGCTTCGGCGAAGGTCCCGGCGTGCTAGCCGGCTTGCGCTTCGTAGGGACATTCACCACCTTACCGCGGCTGCCGCCCTTTTTGGAACTACGCGCCGGCTCTTCGTCCTCGCTCTCGATTTCGATGACGTCTCCGTTGCACATGCGGTCAATGACCTCCGTAGCCTGTGCCGTCTGCTTGGGGTCGCGCTGCGTCAGCACTTCGAGGAGCGAACTCGATGCTGTTGTGGTCAGGCCAGACGCCGGCCCCGGCTGAGCGTCGCGCACGGCTCCGATGGTTGCACGCATGGCCCGCAAGGCGTCCGCTGCGTCGAGCATGAGGGCGCGGAAGTCCTCACACTTCTTCGGGTCGACGGCGTTGGCCTGGTAGATGGCGCGTACGACGCCGATGAGCCCGTACCGGCCAGTCATCTTCATGACATCCACGTACGGCTGCTGACGAATACGACGCCAGGTCTGGGCGACTAGCTGCGTGTAGTTTGGTTCCGCGACCGTCGAATATATCTTCGATGGCATCCGCTGCTTTGACGCCCATTGCTTGGCGGACTTGATATCGAGAGGTGCGCGGAGCGCGACCTGTATCATCGTCAGCGGCAGCGCATATCGCAGGTAACGAAGTCTCACCTGATTATCGCGGACGCTAACGACCTCGAACCCTATCATCTCCGTCGCTAGGTCCGCCGCTGCCTCGAAATCTACGCCTGGTCTGGTCTCCGCGTCGGACCAAACAGCACCAGCCCAACGCAGTACGCGGTCAATGAACGGCCCGATGGGCATAGCATCTTCTTCGTCCTCGGTCGTTGGCGCCGCGCTCATCTCCGCTTTCTCGCTTTCTGCTTTTATCGTAATCGGACTCATCTCGGGGTCTTCGTCGTCATCCCGCACGAGGCTTTCCACCTCGTTGTTTTCATCCAGCGCCGCTGGGCTATATGTGTCATCGTCATTCTCGTCCGTGTCCGCACCGCCTGGACCGTCGCCGGGCACCTTCGTTGGTTCAATGTCGAGCGCATATGTCGATTCGTCGTCGATAGTAGCTACGGGCGGCGTGGCGTTCGCGTCCTAAAGAACACAACATTAGCTTCTTATCCGAAGTCTTAGATATCACCCCTCGCCTCACCTCAGCTACGTCGGGGCCCTGCCTACATTGCGGGACATCCGTAACGTCCGCGGCGTCTCCGCCTTCGTGCGCCGTAGCTTCGCCGGGCTCGCTGCAACGCACGTCGTCCTTGACATTCCCGAGTTCAACCTTTCCATACAGTCAGCCCGCTTCAGGAAACAGGTGCGTCAGCCGGGGAGGTGAACGACTCGCCTCAACATCGCCATCCGGCGACGTGCTAGTGCTTATGGGCGCCGTTTGCGCTGGTGGGCCCTGTTACCGTCAACGTCATCTCCTGTCGGTGCAAACGAAGTGGGCACAATGCTCGGCTCACCTGGGCTAACAGGAGCGCGAGTCGCTTCTGTGCGAGTTCCATTTTGGCACGCGCAATTTCAATCTGGAGGTTCTGGTACAGATGAACTGAGAACCGCATCAAATTGACGTCGCGCTCACCTTGTTCATAGTACGCAGCGCGCGGGGAAAGAACTAGTTCGTGGTGGTGAGAGGCTGCCAACATCCGGCCCCAAAGGGCGTTTTATATACGCCGGCCTATGCGCCGCCGCAAAGATCGTCGCGCGCTCGAACGAACTTGACCGCCGTCACTGATACGCCGGCCTATGCACCGCCGCAAAGATCGTCGCGTGCTCGAACGAACTTGACCGCCATCACTGAAAGGTCGCATGACTACAACGTGCGTTTAGGTTCAGCGACACTGCGTCTCATTATCGCAAGCACGGACTCACCACATGCGCACCCTCGTCCCCCGCCCGAGCGAACACGTCGCTGTGTGTACTATCACGGCGCAACCTCCAGCGCACGCCGACGTTTGGGTAGACCCGTGCCGACAGGATGGGTCGAGAGAGGTAGCGGCATCGTAAGGAAGCCGCGAGTTGCATAATGAGTATAGAAGCCGCACCGGAAGGAGGCAGCGCCACGCGTAGTTTAGCGGCGCTCTCATGCTTATCGAACTGGCGTAAGCTCCAACCTAATGCAATTAAGTCTGATACTCTCTGAGACCTCAAGACGAAATTATTCGTGCTCTGCATAAAAGTCCTCCAGGGATCGGCAACGGCACAAAAGTAGACACCCCTGTGAAGCCTAGTGTATAAGTGCAACGTTAAACCTGATATGCGCGAAAGGCGTACTTGAACAGCGGGTCGTCTCGCAGTCTTGTACTACCCGATGCGCGTGCTCCGCATCCGAGGCGATGGGAACCGGATTTGAGTCACCGCTGAAGCAAGGTTGAAGCGAGGCCGCGATTCACGCGGTGATTACAGATACGCATGTACAGCTATAGACGCGCTCGAATAGGCGCAATGAGGGCGGTAAGAGACATGGACGACATCATTGGAAGACGCAAGGGCCTTGCAGTCGTCGCACGCGCGGTTTGTTCGCATCAAGAGACCGGTGTAGGTCCGTATGGGTGGCTCTTTGACAAGAGGTTGCATAGCTTTTATTGGGGTTTGAGCGCGAAGATAGCGCAGATAAGATACAGGGAAACGTATAATACATTAAGCGAGAGGGGTGTCAATAGTAGTGAATGACTGGTAGGCGGCACCTATTCTGAGGAACAAACCTCCAATTCCTTTGAGGCGAGGCAGCAATTCGGCCGCGGCGCCCAATTTGTCGAGGTAATCGAAGATAGTCGCAGCGCGCTGGGGCAACTTCCTCTCCTCCATACTGGTAGTGAGCGCACTAAGTGAATGGCGCACGACAGCCTCCTGGACGCGGTACTTAGTCCTCCCCTTCGCGGCCTCAAGAACGCGCTTGTATGGAGACGCCGCAGCATCCACCTTGCCGTGCTCCGCTTGGGAATCGCTGATTCAGATGAACGTGTCCTATGCCCGTCGTCATCCCAGGGGTCCTCGTAGGCGATGGCAGCGTTATGAGGCCAGGCCTCCGCATCCGAATCGCTGTCCAAGGAAGATGCGAGTCGAGCACGCTCCTTGCCAGCGTCAGCGACGCGCCCATACAGCTTCTCAGAAAAGACAGTCTTCTCCTCCGCGCTCAAAGACGATGTGTGATCCGTTGGGAGTGCGCGCCTACAATTCTGGCACTGATGGTGCTTCTCAAGGATCGTGTGAGGTTCCCAAGAGGTAGGGAGAATGCGTAGGGCCAACGAAGGTTTCGTCTGGCGAGGGCGAGGCCACGGAAGCCACGCGAGAGCGGATCATTGAGGTTCCGTTGTCTGTCAAGTTCAGTACGTCGTACGCAACCGTCTTCGTCTGCGAGGGGTTTGTGAGCAATGTGTAGACTCTGTGAGCGATCATACCTGGGTACCTTGCTGCAGTCCCCAAGAGCCATTCCACACGAGAGTATGATCGACGAGTACGTGTTCAAAAGCGTGTCCATTCGCTGCCCGTTTGCCAGAGATGACATTCACAGACGAGGAGTCCCCGCGCAGTATATCGTGGCTCAGGGAATACAGATGTCTGAGTCCCAAAACTGAGGGAACGGCCTGATCCGCATCGCGTTTCGTACCCGAGAACGCGGCGGCTCTCCCCATCTGGAGTGCCGAGAAGCAGTGCGAAGCACTCGCAATGCGACCACTTGGAGTCAATCAGGTCGTTATTACTAGGTTCTGTCAAAGAGCAATCGGGTAAATCTTCATTGCGCGCCAGGCGGCGAAAGTGATGAAGACAGGGAGCAAGACCGTCGATGTGAAGAGTGCTACGCTTCAGCTCCGCAATGAAGAGGCCTGGGTCGAACACTACGCCATCAGGTGAAGATCGTAGCAAACCGGTTTGAGCTGCTATGATGGTAGGTGGTGCATGTGTAAGATGTCGGTCGAGATATCACAATGGTGAGAGAGCCGGGTTAGCTTGTGGTGGTTTGCGTTTGGCCTACGCCGCGCGCGGCCGGGGCCTCCGGCCCGATCTCCCACTTTGATCTGCTTTTCGTATTCCTGGTGCACAATATCCTCGTCCTTGTACTCCCTTTGCACATCTCCTTCCTCTGGCATCTGCCACTCGCCTCGCCTTCTTCTCATGACCTTGTGACCGCCGCTGGCAATGCACTAAAAAGTAAATAAATTAACACCCTAACGTTACGTCGCAGGTGAATTGAACCCACGATCTCGTGCAAGGAGCGATTGAGCACCCATTATAATATCTTGAGCCCACACAAGACCTCAGTACTGAGTGAACGATAGGTAGATTCTCAGACGTGGACAAACACTGCATTGTGGTACAAAGGGTTGTGCTACTGATCATGAGCGTAGAGGTCCGTGTGATCGCCGCGATTCTGGGTCCGGACCATCCCGTCGCCATGCTCCCAACTCTGTATCTCTGCCTCAGCGAGTGTTAGGCGGTCCGTGACTGTCCGCAGAACGTCTTCGCGTGCGGCTAACGTGCCATATATCTCATCGTGAAGCCTCCGACCAGCCGTCATGATGGCCAAGGACTGTCCCGATCTCAACGGTGGCAATGCGCTGGCATGTCGACCGGAACTGGCGAAGGCTTCTTCAAGGGCCAGCTCGTTGACAAATTTGTGCTGCCGTTCGCGAGCGAGGCGACGCTCGGCAACCAGCTTGTCCAACTCCCAGAATCGGACTTCATGGGCCCACCGACGGGCTTGTACGGAGAGTGAGAGCTGGATAGCCCGCCGCATTGCTTCCTCATGTCGACGCGCGTGCAATCCATCTACGGTCCTCGAGAGGAGTAAGGTCTCTAGTTGGGAGTGCTCCCACGTGAATGATATCTGGGTAGGACATCAGTAACTGCTAGTCTTCGCCGTTGCGTAGAGAAACGTACATGTCCGTCAGGCCGTTGTCCGCGGATGAAACAACGAAGACCAACGTCGTGCAGATGGGTTTCGTAGTGACGCAGGCCAATGATATCGACCGCACACTTGACGAATTCCCGGCGTACCCTGTACTTGCCATCGACAAGCCTCAAAAATTCAGAGGCTAACTCGTTCGCGAGGAGATTAGACTCAAGTGCAGTAGCTGCGAGGCGGCAAACTGCTTCGCCTGCTGAAGGGGACAGCATGAGAAGGTCCTCGAGATAAGAACATCCTGGATGAGGGCACTTCCATATGCGCCTATAAGGGGTATACGTGCATGAAGGGCGTTTTGCGAGGGCGGGGTACAAGTTGTCAATCGTGTGCAGGATGTAAGGTGCCGTAGACGGGTGGCGAGCATGCACCGGGATATGAACGTCTTCGTTGACCAAGACGACGCGGTACGTGGGTGTGGACGCGCTCGTCATAGTCTCGAAGCGGCGCAAGTCCTCTGGCCATCGCAGGCTTGCGCTTTCTAGATCCTGCGGATGTGGAAGGGGCTTTGATACTCGAGATATGTGCCGAAGGGCAATATACGTCTACAAGTGGTCAGTATCGTGCTGTCTTCAACACGAAATCGACGTGCCATCGTAGTCCATGTTTCCTCACAATCTGGAGCTAAAGGTTGATCTTGAAGGGGTGCATAAGGACCTTCCGCGGCGGCGGCGGCGGCGGAATCCGAGTTGAGAGGAGCAGTCTCCACAGTGTCGCCAAGTGAGCTCATTGTGAAGGACGTGGGAGAGTCCTCCGCAGTGAACTCGCAAGACGAGAGGAGGGGTATCTTGCGCAGGAACGAACGTGGACGCCGAGGTGGGTCATCAAGACTGTCCAACGCACAGAGTATTTTAAGACAAGAGGGTATGAGTGCGGCTGACTCAGACGACAAGATCAGTACCCATTGTGATCAGCGCTCGTAGCGGGAGAATGGAGGACGTCTATCCCGCGGTAGCACCGGGTTCTTCATGAACTCTTCGCGGTCTTCCGATCAGCTGTTCCACCCTGCGGCGCTGGGTACGTAGTCTTCCTGAGAATGTTGCCAATGTCCAAGAGTACAGTTCCCGAAGGTGGTTGAGCAACAGTCGTCTAGAGCGGCTGGCTGACCTCGCGTCTTTTGCATGTAGAGTCGAGGACACGGCGCGATACATACAGACATGGCCTTCAAAACGTCGTGAGCGCTACGTAGAGGACGAGTGCGCATCCACGTACCAAGCTTGGTCGGCTTCTACCCCAGGCACATTTCCATCTCAGCGACCATGATGTCCCGCGTAGCCACCTCGGACTGGTGGTACAGCCATGTCCGGCGCACCTGCAAGCTGTGCAGGCTGGGCGAAGTGAGTTGCACATCGTATGCAGGGTAGCAACGGTTGATGCGATGTTGAAAGCGGAGAGCTTTTCGCACCACACATCCGTCATAGCAGCGAATACTCTGTCACTGGGTCTTTTCGTAATGCATTCTGTAGGCGGAATGCGCTGCGGTTTTCCTGACAACTGACACGAGCGTATAGTGAGCTATAGATGGCCCATCCGACGGGCGTGGAAGCCCCCGTTCAGATGAACCGTCTTGACGTCAGCGGTAAGATAGCTGGCCTCGTCGCTGTTGATTCTCCTTGCCGAGGCGTTCTCACGCACAGTTCCTTTGGTTTGGGGATTGGCCGAGCCAAGGACCTTCATCGCGCATCATGGGCATGTGAGAAGCATGAGGGTGGCGAGAAGTGGGCGCTACAGTTGACGGTGAATACCAGCATCTACCCACGTGGTGCGCCCATGACGACACCAACTTTACAGGCGTTCCTTTCCTTACTATGTCCTCCCAAACATTCGTTCTACATATCCTAGGACAGCGAGAGCGCTTCCAACCAGCCTCTCGACCGATATCAGTGCGACCCAGCTACTCAGGCCAGCCATCCCCTCCTACTTGAACGGTACACTGCACTTCGCGTTCGCTGGCATCCCACGCGGCAGTCGGCCCCCTCCCGACGCGCGCGAAACTCGAAACTCGATCAGCGCTGGAGCACCGCCCTCATCTACATACGAGAGTTGCGCAAGATTGACCTCCAAACGTTACATTCATCCCTCAGTCGCCAATTAATCCGTGCCCAATGTCAAATTCTGCTTCGCCACACGGAATCCTCGATACGCGGCACAAAGTGGCGACATCACTCGCACACGGCGGAGGACCTGCTTCTCCCGGAGGCTTGATTGCTACACCGCCACGCTCTCAAGAACGCCATGATCGAGTAGCATACGACCAAATATTACGCGACCTGCACTTCTTTGCAAAGCACTATAGAACTGCTCGCGCAGAAATATCCGTCGTGTCTCTCATCTTCGTCATCGGAAGAGCGCTCTGGCGCGCCAGGCTCTCATTGCTCGCTGTTGGTTGTTGATGTTTGATAGAAGACCTCTCGTGCGGTTACGCTCCCCAACCATACGATGAATGTGAGCGATTGCGCTTGTGCGCGCCGCAAAGAAAACCACATGCTCATTTTTGCCGATACTACGCTACCCCATCACCTCTCGACCTCATGCGACTACATGTAACAACCTTCTCAGTGCAGCTCAAGCAAGTCCTTCGGCATCGCCGCTCTTCGTGGACGGAGCCTGCCCCGCCCAGGCTCTCTCAACAAAAGTCACTCCGTCAGTCGAGAGAGACATGTTCATCTGGGTGGTGCGTGCCAAGCGGATTCTGGCCTGTGCGTCTATCATGCGATGCATCAGGTATATTGAAGTCATTGGAGATGGAGCTGCCGCGCGCATAACTCTGGCGATCAACATCGAGATGACTACCCTCAGCCTGTCGAACCATCCTGCGCTCGAATGAATAGCTCTGCGATGTCTGAGCAGAATTCAACGGTAGCGATCGTGATAGCTTACTCATGATCTAGCTCTTTGAGATCAGCGGACATAGGCGAGGTCAACGTGCTTGTAGCAGATATCTGATCTCGAGAGGCAGCAGCGTTGCGTAGACCTGATAGGAAACAAAGTGAGTGATAGGAACCGGACGCGTCTATCACAAAGACTCACAGCAAGGGCAGCTACCGCAAGGCGTTTCATACTTGGAGGTGGTCTGTCCGTGCTCAGGCAGAGCCGAAGGAGATTCAGGCATGTCGTCGTCCGCGCGCAATCAGGGAGTTTCGGCCACGTTGAGATGAGGGACGGGGAACGGAGGGCGGTCTGAGCGGCGAGGGCCACAAGCATGGTGTTTATGTAGTACGCTACGAGCGAACGTTACCGGGTTGATTTCATACGCTCAAAGCAAAGGCGTCTGTCACACATGGGATTTGTTCTATGCTGCGCTCGGAAGTGACGAGGGTAGCTTTCATGAAGAGTACGTACGACAGACACCGTCCGGCCTCGCGAGTCTCAGTATCTGAGATCCTGTTACTAGGGCGTTCAGGCCACCTCCTAGTGGCTACCATGTGCACTCATTGGTCTCCGGAGTCCAGACGCTCCAGCGGTGAAACGCACACCTCCCTGCTGATCAGACTCGAAGGAGGGAGGACCTCATCGCTACCGGTGTGAGAACTGCCGAGGGATCCTCTTCCTATCATCTGTGTTGCTGTTCTGAGATCTTGTGCTATAGTGTGCATCTGTGCGGTCAGACATGTATCGGAATCTGATACTTCGCTGAAACGTCTAGTACGCGTGCAGACTAGAAGGCATGCGCGCTAATGCAACGGTCATACTAGCACATGCCATGTTCTCACTCTCCTTGCGTCTTCTTAGGGGTTCCGTCCAGAATATGGAGCCTGAGTCTCGCAGAAAAACGTAGAATATGAGTAAAAGTACCACATTCTCAAGAGGGGTGAACTGGACCAATCCCGATTGTTACTTTTGGAGATGTTGTATCGGCGTACTCCCCGTTGAGTATGCTTCATTCATCGCTCCTTGGCCACCTCATCGTCAATTCGCACTCCGAATCTCTCCAACATATCATTAGAGCTGTAACCCCGTAAGCAATGCTTTAGGTGACGCTTCATGCTGTTCGGGTTTGTCATGCTTTTGAAGCATACTTCGCAATGACCCTGCAGCGCGCGCAAGTGGATGTCGAGGACGTGTGTGCGATAGTTACGGGACGCGAGGAGGAGATCACAGACCTCTCCGTTGTCATTTGTCCACCGGCAAAAGATCTCCGCTGTACCAGGCGGGATCTCATGGAACTTGGTGAGATGCGCCCGCAATTGCTGCCCGGATGCTGACACGCGTTGTTTACAACCGTCGAAATGGCAGATCCAGGAACTCGGTAACGGCGCGTCGGATATCCAGAGACGTCTCTTCAGTAGAGTGAACGATAGCCTGTCTAGATTGAACGGAGGAGGCTCATTATCAAGCGGCATCTTGTACGGTCCCATGCCGCGTTTGCTGCGCCTGCTTGTGCAGGCAGAGGCTCGAAGGTCCACATTTCGCAACCCAAAGACGTTTGGGAGGAGTCCTCGGAGCATTGGCGCACCGTAGGCCTTGCTGTCGTATACAGACGGGTCGTGTTCGCGCTCCCTGACGCTCCGAGATAAGAGAGTGGACGCATGTTGAATGTGCGCGCTCTGAGCGCGTTGAGGACTGCTAGTGGACCGATGAGTGAGGGATAGAGCATAAGAACGCATTTCAAAGCACCTCTTGGGCATATTCGTGATCTCAGCGAAACGTGGGTCCAACCCGAGCCCAACAGGATCAAGATGAGTGGTAGCGCGATGGCCGAGGGTGCGCGCTGAGGGCCTGAATTGCGACCTATCGGTGCCTTTAGCGATTAACGCGTCAAGGTCTGCAGACCTAGAGTACGCACGGAGTACACACGGATTGACATGGGGGATAAGAGTGTATATGCGAGTAATGATTCCCCGGGACATCTATGGGTGAGGGGAACAACGGCCTGATGTACGATGCAACTAGATTAGTAGTCGCGAAGATGATCTTGAACGGCACACTTGCCTCGTCACGACTGTGCTCTCAGCGATTGTTGACGGGCTTGCGATGGGCTGCATAGGCTTCGCCTGTACATCACAGACACTAGACGATTGCAGTCAGGTTCATGACAAGGCATATTTGCTTCGTAATGCGCCTACCTCGTGACGGAAAACCGTTGATGCCCCCCAGATGCGATGTCAGCCCAAGCAAGCGCCATCCTTCCCTCCAGTCGGGGCACTTTGAGATCAACTGGACCAACCGCCATCTTCGACCATAATGACCCTGGGGCGGGCACCCCACGTTCAAGCTCGACGCATCCAGGTAGACGCTCATTGAAAGGTGCAGCGGAGGAAGAGCCGGGCATGTCCGTAGCTGTTGATACAGAACACCCCGGTGAAGAAGACTATGCAGTAACAGAGTAAGGAACGCAGAAGAGGCCGATTATCTTCATATATGTGCTACCGCGGGTCATCTTTGATCAAGCCCAACGGAGAGCAAAACCGGAGCGCCCAACGTCCTGAACCTGATGCTTTCAGCGTCGCGCTCAGTAGGAAGAATAGCACGTCCATCAAGGAGAGATAGTGATGGTCAGAATCTCGGAAGGCTTCCCTTCAGTCATATCTCGCTCTCGCGGACTTCGCCTAAGGAACGGCGACCCATAGGAGCTCAAAGAACCGTCTACAGGTACACACGGACGTGTCTATCGATGTAACAGGCGAGGATGACGGTTGTTGAAGGCGACGTTGTGACGCTAGTTCGAAGATCGGTGTTTCTCCGCACTCCCCAGTCCTCACACCTTAATCTAAGAGCCCCGCGAGACGAAGTCACGCGGCGCGGGCTCAAAGCTCTATGGATTGCCTGGTGTTCACATGATACGTAACGTATGGTTACAGTGGATATGCAATGTCGACAAGGAACGTCCGAGTATAGATCGAAGTGGGCGCGCAGGGAGACGCCGTTCCGGGTGAACAGGACGAGCACAAGATCAACAGGTGCATGACCAGAGCGTATCGTGTAAGGAAAGCTGGGAAGTTTGCCGTAAGGCCCCCGGTAGGCCGATGTAGGGGGAGAGAACTGCAAGGAAGACGCGCGGCGTAGCAATCAGTTAATCGTTAAGGGCGAGAATTGACGAATGAACTCACTGATCCAGCCAGAAACACCTTATTCGGGCTTTACCTCAGAGAGGACTTGCGCAGATACTGCACGTAGCGCACGAATGTAGGTAGTGCCATGCACGAATATCCATCGCCAGCCCGTAAGATGCGCAGACAGCCCGGAAACGTGAGCGCTACGGGTGTGATTCGAGACGTGGGCCGTTGAGATGGCGGGTATGGTGCGGGGCGGCCATATGTCGCATAGTGTAGATACTGTGCCGTCTGAATTC